TTCATGGTGTATTCGTCATGACAATCAAACTTACCTGACTTAATTCTCATCTATCATCGTACCACCATTAGCACATATCAACTGCACAGGTGTGATTATAATTAAATTTTATGCCCTAATACTCATAAAACTAATAATTACAATGAAAAATCATAATGAAGAATCACAGTGAAAAATAATATTCTTAAGAATAACAATGTATATAATACGTATAGATACAAGACAAGACAACCATTTGAATAGAAATAAAAAACCATATAAAAAATAATATTAACATATACCTATATGTGGCCAGACTTAAATTTACATTATGGCTACAAAGAAGGTTCAATAATTACCTCGATACCTTTAAGAACCTTTTCATTTTTTGAAATCAAATCAAAGGTGCGTTAAAATTAATTTAATTAACTGTTTTGTTTGTTTAAAAAAGTTAATATAAGAATTATAAAACGGGCTCGCGTCTTAATTAATTAGAAAAGTCTTTGTTACTCTTGTACGCTGTTACGTAAAACGCTACAAGTGATAGATACTTTGCAACGTTATAATGAAGTTTGAAACTGGAAAAAACTTTGTTGTAGAAGTTTGTATGAAAGGTTGAATTATTGATGATAAAAAAAACATTAAAATAAATGCATATATAGAAAATAACTGTTATTTGTTTGTAATGAATATACTCAAGTGGGGAAACGAAAGGAGTTTAATAATCGGCGTTCAATTGTTTCTGCCTACCCAAATGAAAGACAGGCATGACAGGTACGTAGGTATGAATAAACTAAAAATAATACTTTTTTATTATTTCAGCCATTTACTGAAACTGTCTACTGCTGGACATAAGCTTTCCTCTTGAGAGGTGAGTTTTGCCAGTAATTGCCACGCTTGGCAGGCGGATTGGCAACCGCAGTTAGGCCTTTGATGATGTTTAATAGGGACGCTCCTGCCCATCCTTTGCCCTCCCTCAATCGCCTCTTACGATTTCCACGGGAAAAAAGGTGTGGCTCATTCCATGCCGGGGCATACACAGCGAAAATAATACTTAACCGACATTATTTTAATCCCGGTCAATCAATATATCCTGGTCATACCAGACTTTGTACAAAAGTCGTTTGCTTAGGTACCTCTGTCTCATTTGTGTTTCAACCGTAAAGCAGTTGTTTGCAGGGCTGTGTTTCAGTTTGAAGGATGGGATATGGCTTGAATTTACAGGGTACAGAAGAATAACAACTAAGTCTTCAGGAATGGCAACGCATGGGGGTATCATTTTTTTTTTATCTTTATTTGGTCTCCTAGCAATTGTTACACTGATGTCCATGATACTGCTCATATCTATAGGCGACGGTTACCACTTTCCATTAGGTGACCCGTCAGCTTGTTTACCATTCTAAGTTGTATAAAAAAAAATTTCGAAGTCATGGGTAAGAAGAACTCGTCTGTAATAAATGTTTTCAAACGTGTATGAATTTTTGTAGATTGTAATCATAGACTTAATATAATTTGTAAAGATATATTAAGTCTATGACTAAAAGTTAGTTGCAAGATCAATAACAAACTGGAGAGTAATAAATAAGTACCCAAATAGCTAAGTAAACTTAGTACTTGTTTACTTCCGCTTTTAATTATGTAATCCCTAACAAACTTTGCTTGTTTCACATAGATTTGATGTCAGTATTGAGTTTCTCAATTCAAATATAACCGGCGAACTTTGTATTTTTCTACTAGGTAATTAATTTCTGAACAATTTTTTTTTGTTATATATTCTTTTATTATTTACTAAAATTTTTATGAATTAAATAATGTTATAATATTTAATTTATAAATCTAGTAATATAAAAGGGTATATACTACTTTTATCCCTATCAATCAATTGTTATTGTATATAGAGGGAAACTTTGTATAAAAGTCGATTGCTTGGGTACCTCTATGCCATTCTTGTGTCAACCGTGAAGCAGCTGTGTTTGCATGGTTGTTTCGGTTTGAAGGGTGGGATATGGCGTGAATTTACTGGGTACAGAGGAATAACAACTGAGTCCTTAGGAATGGCAACGCGTGGGGGGTATCATGGGTGAAACAGTATACTCTGTTATGTCCATGGTACTGCTCATGTCTATAGGCGACGGTTACCACTTTCCATCAGATGGACCGTCAGCTCGTTTGCCATTCTAAGTTGTATATATATATATATATATATATATATATATATATATATATATATATATATATATATATATATATATATATATATATATATATATATATATATATATATATATATAACATTTATGTGTAAGGTAAAGACAAAAAAAACAAGCTACGTGGGAGATATTCCGACTAAAAATTGCTTACTAATAAAGAACACAATTTATTATCTAAGAAGAAAACAAGCAATGAGCAGAAACTACATGTTTTATTGAAGACCATATACTACTTACGTAGTATAAAATGTTCATAAAATACAGAGCAAGGTAGCGAATGTGCGGTCTATGTATTGTTCTGCCGTTGCGTAGAACATAAATATTTTATGACCGAAACATATTTTTCAGGATTCATAATTCCGACGGAGTCAGTGATGCGGTTTATTGTCGATATTTTAATCTGCATTATATATTTATATTATTTATTATTCACTTAAAAAATGAATGAAGCATAGTGTATATTTTTACAGTAGTAACAACCAGTAGCCTAATTTTGGTAATTTCCGAATATTTAGATGCGATAATTCGAAATTATCTAGTTCTTAGACAATGCGAGTTCTGACATGACATATATTAAATAGTTGAATATTCGATTACAAATAAAATACTAACAATCACTGTTTTTATTATTTTTAGTGTAGATATTTTTCAACTAATTGAATAAGAATACAGTAAGTATGATAATAAAATAATAATATAGTATGTTACTATGACTGAGATTTACAATATATATATACATATATATATATATATATATATATATATATATATATATATATATATATATATTAAAATATTTTATTGCATTTAAACCTAAATTTAAAATATATCAAAATATATCATAAAATCATAAAAAAGAATTAATAGAATTGTCTACATTCATAATACTTCAATTTGATGTAATAAAATATAACATACGTAATAAAAATATGTAAATGTGTAATAAAATATAACATACAACATTAGAATGTAGAACTAATTTGTAATTAATCCAAACTCTTTAAACTTGTTCATGTATCTTCAATTATATAATTGTAAGGGTTTTATATTTATAAGTCAATTTATAAAAATGTGAGAATTGCCGAATAAACTGGCCAGTAATCGTTATTATACTTACCTACATGTCATCAAATAGATAGAGATGTCTTTGTGGAAGAGAAGCGTCATTTTTCATTAAAATTAATGGCTTTTTATCTCGGCTCTCTTGAAAAGTTTATATATAGGTACAAACCGAGACGCGTTCGCGTTTCGATAAAGTAATTACTTAATGTAAAGTCACTTAAGCTTCCCATCCTAATATAAAATCTTGGATTTTTTACTTAAATAAAGATACTTTTTGAACTGTGTTTTATAGATATATATATTGTTTAAAAAGGTATAGACAATATAATACTACATATATATATATATATATATATATATATATATATATATATATATATATATATATATATATATATATATTAACAGAGCGAAAGAGGTTTATTTGAATCGAAGCATTTGGCGTTCCATTGTTTCTGTCTACCCTAATGGGAGACAGGCGTGACAGATATGTACTGTAACTTTCTTTGTAATGAATATTAAAAAAAAAAGTAAGAATAAATAATTCTCTCACGAATGTTCAGGCTATGGAATGAGCTTCCTACCGAGGTTTTCTCTAGAGACTACAGTATGCGGTTCTTTAAAAAGGGTATACCAAGGTTTCTTCAGGGTTGATAATGCACACGTAACACCCCTAGTGTTGCAGGTGTCCATAGACTACAGTGACCATGTACCATCAGACGGGCTGTATACTTTGTGGTATAAAAATAAAATGTGCTCACGATTAATATTTAATGAAGTTGTTAGAGTCTTTTAGCGACAGCTTCTTTTATAGTGAAAGTACCAGTGTAAAAACGGGTCAATGTTTTGTCAACAAATTTTCAAATTAGCTGACTCGTTTTTTTTATCAGTATTCTATATACTTATGCATAAAATGTATCTTGATGTATTATTTAATACATAAAATTTATGCATTAAAAAGATGCAGAAACTATAAGACAAAATAAATATTGAAGTTATAAAGGAATTACTTATATCTATTTATCACGGAAAATTGTATGAAAAAGTTGACCCGTTTTTCTCAAAGCATTTCTATGGAGACACTCTATCTATATAATCTAAGAGTACCACAGATAATATAATACTATACTAGATAATAGGTACTAAACTACACTTAAATCAAGTTTATAAAACGTATTTCTGATATACGAGTACCTTAATAAATGTCCTTATTACTATAAAGAGAGGGACGATATTTAATAGCTGCTTATCACCAGGTAAAAGGGTGTTGTAATGCCTTCACTACCCAAATTCGCGGTATAGTTTGATTGCCCAAGAGATATTCTGTTAAGATATGGAACCATGAAAAAGAGGAAAGATGCGGCAAGGGGCTGCTACAGAGAAATAATACAGCTTAAAAATGTGATAGGTTGTTCTAAAGATGACTTATAATAAGTGCAATATTTTGATGATTCCTATGGTCGTAGATACACTGCTTTACTTAACGAGATCCCAGGTTCGATTTTCGGTCGAGCCATTTTAGAAAACAAAATTGTCTAAATCTATTTAGGTCTGGGTGGTCTGGATCGTACCCTCAGATGTTCATTACCTAGTTCCTCATAATACAGTATAAATACATTATCACACCATATGTATGCTCTTCAAGCGAAAATTTGCTTAAAGATATGTCCGACCATATAGTGACTTGGTGTATTTGTTATTATACTATATATTAGACCAATAATGGAAACTATGTAGCAAATCACTTACAGCGCGATCAGCTAAGTTCTTCACTCTACAGTGCAAATAAGCTGGTTGTCCCACGGCTGCCGTGTAGTCACGTTTGGTGGCGTTATCGAAGTATGGCTGCCCCATATTCTCTGAGGAGACTGTAGCATTGATGTCTGTCATGAAGGTGAGTTCACTCGGGGTGGCAGTACCCCCGCTGGCAAGGTTGACACCTCCGATCGTGTCACCACTGGTACCGCCGCCACCAGCAGACATGCCTGCAAATAATGGGTGAAGTAATATTAATATCAATTCTATCATCTTATATGTTTTATAGTACTTAGAACGAAAACAAGTTAACGGGCACCTGATGGTAAGTGCTAACTGTTGTCTATAGACATGAACAACACCAAAAATGCTACAAAATATATAATTTAAAGCCCATAGTACCCTTCATGCGTTATCGGAGTGCGGAATATTATACTTCAGAACCCCGTAAATTCACTGCTGTATTACATACTTCAAACCGAAACACATCCATGCAAGCACAAGTGTTTTGCGACATAAAGTTGGGACACAAGTAGCTATGCAAACAACTTTTATTGTATAAAAGTCTCCTTCAGTAAAATTACTACTTACTAAAATTTTTAATTAAATGTAAAAGTTTGTAAAGGTAATTGGACAGGTAATTAATTTACCTTGGCCTTTTTCCACTTAGGCTCACAAATGAGCGATTGTAGACGAAAATTTGAACAGTCCAACTAGTTCAATGTAAACGAATATTTCAATGTTTATTAACAAAAATGACTATTTGTTCTATTTGACACGGGCAAAACCGCGGGTTACAGTGAGTAAAGGTTATTTGAATTTCAAATCACATCAAAAATATTTATTTAAAAATACTTAATTTTGTAGAATTTTTATCGTAAATTTTCACGATGGTCATTTTAAAAGTTTTATTTTAAAGTACAACGAAAAACAGCTTACATTGTTCGTCTTCATTTGAAATATTCATATCTGACCTACTATTTCCATAGAAAGCGGAATACAAATATTTGTGAGACAAATCTCATTGTATTTGCTTTCATCTATGACTGAATAGACAAATATGGGGTTACGTATCTTTGTTTGTTAGGATGTTACATCTGAAAACATTCGTTTTACATGAAAATCGATGAATGTGCATAAATTTAGATATTTTAATTTTAGAATTGGAGATTAGTTTATTTTGGCTATTTGAAATTGCTCAACAATTTTTAATATATAATATATGTAGACCTTCGTAGTCATTGATTCATTATATTCAGCACAAGTTTGTGTATTTTGTGTAAAATATTTGAAGTCACCATATTTTATTATATTTTGTTGAATTTGTCTATTCATGAAGTATGTAATAATAATAGATCATTATAGTATAGTACGAAGTAATGAGTTAATGGATGCAGGTGCCATTCTTATTAAAACACCATTGGGTTACAAAGAACGGTCTTTTTTAACAGTCTTATAAACTCAAGATAAAAAAATATATTCATCAGTATGCATATTTTATATATAAATTTATCGATTTTGATCCAAGCAATTTATACACCTATTTTTCCTTCCGCTTCCTCATCCAACAAAATTTAAGCAAATACGGCGTTCCTGTCACATTTTGTTCAGAAGTTCTTAAGTCTCTATGGGTGCATATATTGCTCATATCTTCTCGTAGGCATAAAAACCGATCAAGTGCGAGTTAAACTCGTATGAGGGTTCCGTCCATAAAGTAATTTGTAAATAGATTTCTGTTTTCTTTACATACAACTTTATTTGAATATGTAGGTAAGAGATAAAATGATCTCATAAGTGTTTATTGTGTTTTATACGAAATAGTAATCATTGATAATAATAATCATTGTTTAATTATAATGTATAGTTACTTTTAGGCCAAAACAGTGATTAAAAACCGAACCTAAGTACCGAATAACTAAGTTTATTTTTGTAGTTGATTTTCCAAAACTATTTTTAACTATTGTTTATTTTTTCTTTCATTCCTTCAAGTGTAATAATGACTATTCTTGCTGTCAGCGGTGTCATGTTGACGCTTTCCAAACCGAAAAGGCAATTTGTCACTCTTTCGGGGCGTACCGCGTTTTTTCAATGTTTGACATTGACCTCTCCCAATAGGTTTGCCGTTTGCCGGTGGGGTCCTCTTGAAACGTTCACCCTACTCGTGGCCATCGTCCATCATCTTGACAGGTGCCAATAACATTAACTTTTTCTTTTATCACGGTGAAAATTATAAGGCGATGACGTAGTGCCAATTTATTTTTCATTTGAGTGAAGATAACTTTATTTTTATCTGTCCTGTTATTCTATTTCCGTTTTTTTTTTCATTGAATTATAGTAGTTTCTTTATATCCTACTATGTGTTATGGATGAGAAATTTTGTAAGATGTTTAGGTAATCACATGTGTGTAACTCTATCACGCTTAAACGGCTGAATGGACTTCACTGAATTTGATACACAGGTAGAGCTTATTCTAGATTAATAGCTTGTCTGTAATGCATCCTTTACCATGAAATATACCATGGACAATATTTTTTGTTTATTATAAAACAAGATGATAATGATTCAATCCAAAAAAGCTCTCCAAAAATTACTTTACATTGGCAATTTATTAATAAAAAATAACAAAAAGTTTTGATCTTTAGGTATGGGATTGTTTTGTATTTTAATTTAAAAATTAAAGAGAGAGAGAGAGTGATAGGACATTTTTCTACATTTCAGGCATTGATTCTAAGTAAAGGTCTGTTAAAGTTTGTATGTTTCTTTCTATATTTTCTACTAAAATTATCTATATTAGAATATAATGTATAAATTTTTGTTAGGAATTAACTTTGTGATTATGAACTCTTTGCCACTAAAAAGCTACTTGATGTTTATAGTACTATAAAAATAATATCAACTATAATATTATAATTCAATACAATCAAATGATAAGATAATAATATTCCTATCTAATATCCATACTTTTAGAAAAATCTATTCGAAATTAGAAAAACATATTATAAGCACCAGTAATATCCATAACCTACACATACATTCCACACTATCCGTTATAAGACATTTTATTTTTATTGCAAGTATACCCCTTAATGTCAAATAACTGGTTGAAAATATTGTAAGTAACTCCTTTGACAAGCGAACCCTGTTGCTACTTTTGGATTTTAAAGGTCCGATATTTCCAAGCATTACACTTTACTTGCTATGCAATTACATATTTGAAGGAATTTTTATAATACTAGTGAACCGCCCCAACTTCGCAGGAGTCGAAGATCTCGACTATAGTGCCATTTATTATGATGAAAATATTTTACTTCTGAATTTCGAGTATATTTACAAAACTTCATAAAAATCGGTTGAGTGGTTTTAGAGATTAACATGATTGAGCATTGTGGCACATTTTTTGTATATACTCGTAAATATATTATATATAAGAAACACTGCAAGAATGTTTACGACTGGTTTTACAAGCTATTCAATTAACTTGCTTTGTTCCAATGGATATTGTTATAATTTATCGTATATTTTTACTATAATGATAAGAGGTCTAGAGGTCAAATTATATTTTTTGTTGTACAATATCAACAACAAACATTCCTCTGAGATCGTAATCGGGCCATACGCACGTACTTTGTACCTACGTTTCCCCATCGTGTTTCCCTACGGTATTTCTTAAATAACTTAGCTTCAGGCAAAATCTACTAGTATCTTAATTAGAATATAAGATGAAATATATAATGATTTTCTGATAATAGAAGTACGAGTATACTTATACATAATCCACGAGACAGGCTTTGCCTAGTGTGGGGTCATAGTTATATTGTACAATAGGCTAATTTTGTTGAAGGCAATAAAGTTATTAAACGTTTATGAGTAATTTAACGTTTTTATCTGCATGACTAGTCAACTGACGCATAAGTTAAGGATGTAAAAGGTTGACAGAATAGAGTAATTATAGAATAAAGATACAAATTATTGTTTAGGCTAGTATGTATTGTATTTAATTCAGGATCATCATCATCATCATATCAGGCATTAACTGTCCACTGCTGAAGATACACCTCCTTCATAAGGGGGGTTATCCTTATGAGGATTAATGATTCAGGATATGGTACACTTACGTATCAAACTTCATTTAAATTTGTACAATCCTTTACATGTAATTGTTTAAGAAATAATCTAAACAGCTAAACGTCTATGTGTACATATTTATAATATTTGTTGGATAAAGGGAAAACAAAGCCCTACATAAATATAAACAAATTAACCCAAAGCAATTAACAAAGGTAATTTCAAACTAAGGGTGGAACCCAAGGGAGATCAACAGAGCTGTCGTAAGCGTTCGATGTACATTGATTAAAGAGAAATGCAGTTCTAAATAGTTTAACATGATAGTAAATAATTGTTTAGAAACTTGTGACAACAACCAATACAACTGGATTGTCTACTGCTAAACTAATTTTGTACTTAGTTCGTTATCTCACCAATAACTTTATGTGTTTAAGTTATTTTGTATAGGTATAATGTTTTATATATTTATTAAACTACTTCATTATTACTTCGGTTAAATTAAAATCTAAATTTAATTTAAACAATAGGCAATAATTATTGTTTAAATTTTTAAAACATAATTTTTCAACTCATGGAAACTTCAGAATATCGATCTTAATAATATGTCATACCTTCGTCATTTATGTGTCACTTAGTACCAATTTTGCATCTTTATATCAATGTAGGCTGGTCTAAATATAATATAGTTCAATATACGCTACAAATAACTCTAATAGCTTAAAGTCTATTTCTAATAAAAATGTAACTTTGTTAACTATATATTAGAGTTGGAACTTGAACAAATATAGTGTAAAGGTAGCTTTGTGCACGATACTTCGTACGTATAGATTTTAGAAGTAGGAAGGTGGGTGATACCGGAACATTATATACCATATAAAAAGACAAATGGACACAAAATTTCTGAAAAATAATGTTTTGGCTTCTATTGTTCTTATTAAAATTTTCCGTATAATTTTTTTTACAAATTTTCAATATATAAACATTGTCTAGTTACAATTTTATCATTTTAGTAAAATAAGATTTAAAAATAAAACCTACCTACACTCGATACTAGAGATAGACTAATTTGTTTGTCAATTACAATCACGCAAATAAAATTGCAGAACATTGTTAAATTAAGCGTAAATATTTTTCAATTTTTTTTTCATATATTCTATACAATTC